AGGAAGCTGCTGCAGGGTTTCTGTCCCTCAGCTGAGCAGCAGCAGGTACTCCTTGAGGCTGGTGGGCAGGGGCAGCTGCTCGACGGCCTCGGGCAGGAAGCGCACCCCGAGGCTGCGGCGCACGGCGCATCGCGCCAGGCCCTGCAGGCTGCCGGGGGCGGCTCCGAGCCGGCCCAGCCTCTCCCCGAGCCGCGGGTCCCGCTCCCCCCGCGCCGCCGCCGCCGCCTCCCAGGGCTCCAGGTGTCCGGCGGCGCGGCGCAGCAGCTCCAGGCACGAGTCCTCGCGCTCCGAGCCCAGCCCGCGCAGCAGCAGCGCCACGAGGCGCGAGGCCGGGCTCTGCCCCTTGAGGTTGCGCACGCGCGCCTCGGCGCCGAAGTCCAGCAGCACGGCCACGCTCTCCAGGTTGCCCTTCATGGCGGCCCAGCTGAGCGGCGTGTCCGCGTTGTAGTCGCGGGCGTTGACCAGGGCGCCGCCGTCCAGCAGCGCCCGCGCGCACTCGGCGTGGTTCTTGAAGGCCGCCCAGTGCAGGGGGGTGTCGCGGTTGCCGTCGGCCGCGTTGGGGTCGGCGCCGAACTCCAGCAGCAGCTCCACGCAGGCCTCGTCCTTCTCGGCGGCGTAGTGCAGAGCCGTGCGGCTGTACCCGTCCAGCGCGTTCACCTGAGCCACGGGACACGGGTTAGACCCGGCCTGGGCATGAGAGTAACTGGAACCCGGCTGAAAACTGGTCTAAATCTGAGCTAAACCTAGCTTAAACCTGAGCTAAATCTAACCTAAATCTAACCTTAACTCTGACATAAACCTAACTGAAACTTGACCTACACCTGACCAAAACCTGACATAGACCTGGCCAAAACCTAACCAAAATCTGATCTAAACCTGACCAAAACCTAACCAAAACCTGATCTAAACCCGACCTAAACCTGACCAAAACCTGACCTAAACCTCACCAAAACCTGACCTAAACCTAACCGAAACCTGACCTAAACCTAACTGAAACCTGACTAAACCTAACCTCAATTTAAACCTGACCTAAACCTCACCGAAACCTGACCTAAACC